CCACCTTCCTTCCAAGCACCTGCATGAAAGGTAGAAGTAAATAAACAATTTAAATTTTAATACTTTAAGAGTTTAAATAAACAATCCATGCCTCATGAGCAGCATGGATTGTTTATTTAAAATAATCAAGCGTGACCCAAACCGAGCCTTTAGTCCCCCTCAGCGAACGGGCCAGGTCACCGGGAAATGTCTTTGTGCTCCAGATGGCCAGTCTGCCCCCAACTCCTGCTGCACCTGCACACAGATTCTCCGTCCTACAGCAGGATGGAGATTCTCCTTGCACCTGTGCACTGCAGTTTTTTTTTTTTTATGTGTGTGTGCTGCACTTCTTAAGTGCCCCCACCCCCCCAGTCTTGTCTGATTGCCTTGTGCCTGAAGTAATCCAATGTTCTTGTTCCTGCTCTGTTCCTGACCCACTTCATGAAACGGATTCCTCCCCTTTGCCTCCCCAAGATGGACACTTCTGCCCATTGGATATCTAGACCTCAACATCTGCTCTGCCTTCAGACCACTGATTCCAGCCAAAACCCTCAGATAAGTTTTGCTTCTTATGCCTCTACACCTAGAGGTACAAGGACCCACACCTGTATTTTTGACCACAAACTCAGACCCCAGATTCTAGGAGTTGAGGTCTCAGAACCAAGCTCCACATTCTGAAGAGTGTGTTTGTCAGACTGTCACACACATATCACATGATCCGTCAGAACCTCCTTTCCCTCGGACGTCATTGCAACTTTGGCTTTTCACCTGTGATCGAGCTCTCTGAGTGACACCTGACTTTCTCCTCCTGATAAAACTTTAAATATTTTTGTTCACTCGTGTGTGTGGTTCAATTTCCGGGTCCCCCTCATAATTCATTACAAAGCAAAAGAGCAAAAGAAAGGGACTCAAGAATTTCAGATTCATGTCATGATTTTTTCTAATTTATGAAGCTCTTACCTTACCGCTATGTTTAGATGTAATTTGTTGTTTAATGATTAATTAAAAGGTACAGTATTTCTAAAGGAATTGAAAGAGATGCAATGTAGAGCAAAGAGGGAGGTGGCAAAGGCAAAGCAGAAGGCATATGATGAGTTGTACGGGAGGCTGGACACTATAGAGGGTGAGAAGGACTTGTACCAATTGGTGAGACAGAGGGATCAGACTGGAAAGGATGTGCAGCAGGTTAGGCTTGTTAAATATAGGAATGGTAATCCAAAAAAGTTCAATCTGGTCCTCTGGACATTCAAAAAAACAAACAAGAGGACCAGATTGAACTTTTTTGGATTTTTCTACCTGGATTATTGAGCATGCATCAGGATAGGAATGGTAATGTTCTAACAAGTGAGAAGAGTGTAACAGGAAGATGGAAGGAGTACTTTTAGGAGCTAATGAATAAAGAGAATGAAATAGGAAGAAGAGTAGAGGTCATAGAAATTGTGGACCAGGAAGTGGAAAAGATTAGTGAGGGTGAAGTCCGGAAAGCTCTGAAAAGAATGAAGAAGGGGAAGGTAGTAGGACCTGATGACATGCCAGTGGAGGTTTGAAAATGTCTTGGAGAGATGGCAGTGAGGTTTTTGACTCAAATATTCAATGGCATATTTGAGGGTGAGAAAATATCTGAGGAATGGAGAAGAAGTGTGCTGATGCCCATTTTTAAGAAAGGTGATGTACAGAGTTGTAGCAGCTACAGGGGAATTAAGTTGATGAGCCACACGATGAAGATCTGGGAGAGAGTTGTGTTTGCAGATGACAATGTGATCTGTGGTGAGAACAGGGAACAGGTGGAAGGGAACTTGGAGAGCTGTAGTAAGACAGAGTACATGTGAGTGCATGAGAGGGAGGCTGGTGGAACAGTGAGGCTACAAGGAGCAGCAGTCACAAAGGTGCAGGACTTCAAGTATTTAGGGTCCACTATCCAGGAAAATGGGGAGTGTGGTAAAGCGATGAGAAAGCGAGTCCAGGCAGGATGGAGCAGATGGAGAAAAGTTTCAGGAGTGATTTGTGACAAAAGGGTATCAGCAAAGGTCAAAGGAAAAGTTTACAAGACAGTGGTGAGACCAGCTATGTTGTATGCTCTGTTGACAGTGGCATTGACAAAAAGATAAGAGAAACAACTGGAAGTGGCAGAAATGATGATGTTGAGGTTCTCCTTAAACAACACCACCAGCCTGATCAAGAAAGCTCATCATAGACTCTACTTCTTCAGGCGGCTGAGACGAGCTGGAATGGGAAGCTCAGTCCTCACCTCCTTCTACAGGTGTGCAGTGGAGAGCATCCTGTGCTCCAGCATCAACATGTGGCATGGAGGCTGCACAGCTGCAGAAAGAAAAGCTTTGCAGAGAGTGGTGAAGGCTGCACAGAAGTCTGTTGGAGTCAGTCTCTCCACCATCACATACATTTACACCTCCAGATGCAGGAAGAGGACCACCTGCATCATGAAGGACCCCACTCACCCAGCACACACACTTTTTGACCCGCTCCCCTCAGGAAGGAGGTTGAGGAGCATTAAGTGTAGAACCACTAGACTGAGGAACAGCTTCTACCCTGAGGCTGTTAGACTCATGAATCTCTAACCAGAATAATCACTGTGAAAAATCACATCGTGCTGCTAATTTATTTTATGCTGCTGTGTTCATTTATACTCAGCTGCTCACAGACTCATGTTCGTGCTGCTGTTCGGTTCACCAAACCAGCACATGACACATCCGGTGTTTTGCCTTTGTTAGTGCTTAGCATATTGTTTTTCTTTTAGATCTTTTTCTTTTGGATGTAACTGGGACCCTGTGTACACAGTTTCGTTCCACCACATGAGTGAGATGGAGGAGGATGACTCACTGTGGTGACCCCTGAAGAGGGAAAAGCCAAAAGAAGAAGAAGATGATTAATAGAAAGGTAATGTGACACCGTTACTGTGTGCGGGGGAGCGAACAGGACTTAAAGCCCCACATCTGTGGTGTACAGACAGATTCCACAAATACAACATGGCTGCTTCTGTAAAGCAGATTTTACTGGCTTCAATGACCAACAATAGAAGAAGGCAGGGATACTGACTGTAATATACAGGGTCCCTGCACAACAACTTGATGTAGTTGCATGATGAAAGTTGCGTAATTTTTTTCTCAGAACATCTCCCTCCTCGACAAAAGGCCCGAGCCAAACGTTTTCTCTTTTTATGTAAGAGTATGCACAAAGTATTGTGTTATTGTATAAGTATTGGTCAGAAGTGTGTGGGTGTGTTTGTCAATGCAACAAAGCACTCTGACATTCAGCTGCAAGACTCTTCAAACACACTAAATTTGTCAATGGGCCAAAAACTTCTGGATGGAGATCATGCAGACATCATGTATGGAGGAGTCTGTCTGATGAAAAGTGTGGCGTTTTGTTCACAATATATTTTTGGCCCAACAGCAGTTGGAGGGACAAAGTGGAGACTGGCAGGAAGACATCTGTGCGGTGATGTATACTGTGGTGGGAGGGGTTTCCCCTGAGCTCTGCGTCTGTGTCTCGTAGTCTATGAAAAATGTGCACCCACATGATCGCAAGTTGACTGCTGGGCCCTATAGTCTTTGGGATGCAACCCCATCTCCATGAGCTGGAAGAGGCCACCCGGTAGATTCCTCAAAGACAACAAACCTGCAGTAAGATGAGATGTTGTAAAGCTTGTATCTGTGGACCCACTGACAAACCTGGGCCATGTCCTCGTGTTTGCTCCACTTAACGGAGAGCAGCAGCTTCGGTAGGGACTGAGGGAAATTCTCACGACAGTCGTAGCGTAGTGTCCAGATCAGATCCTTCTCGTTCTCACACAGCTGAGAGAGCGGATCGCGCTCCATGATCTCTTTCAGCTCGATGTAGAACTTCTTCCCACCACGACCCTGAGAGTAAAGATATGGAAACAATACAGGTTTGAGTCGGAGGGCGAAATGAAGACAGAAGCATGGAGAGGATCAGCAGGAGTGAAGAGCCAGGAGAGGGCAGGAGTGTGAAGGCCATCTTATCGTCCACCAACTGCCTTAATGCAACAAAAAATGAAACTAACATAAATCAGTTACAGTAAAAAACAAAACATGTTTTATGTTAATAAACAAAACATATGATGCATCTAATATGAAGAAACATGAGCATTAATATAAACCTGAGTTCTCCATTAAAAGAGAAAAAAAAGTTTTTGTTAATTTTTCACCCACATAAGTCTGCAGGGCTTTGTGCAGACATGCCCTCTATGTGGTGGGATTACATAATCTGCTATAACACACCTGTGAGTGTGTGTGTGTGTGTGTGGGGGGGGGTGGGGGGGGGGGGGGGGTAGTTGAGAGGCATTGAAACAGAACAACAGACTAGTAATCTGATTAGTCCTTAGTTCTGAAAGGGGGGAAGTGAATAATTTTACACCCTTGCCAAATAGTAACAATAGGTTTCCAAGGGAACTGCAGCTCTGGGTTTAAACGGAGCTTTCAATCTGTGGGTGAAAAGGAGGGAAAGCTGGAAATTATGCTGTCTGTCTGAACGAGCTAACATTTAACAATCAGACCACTTGAACTCAAAGCGGTCTGCAATCATCTGAGCATGCTCACACAATTATCTCTGATTGTGTCATTACTCACTATGGGTGCGCAGTCACTGGCTCTGGCGATCTGTGCAGCTTTTTCCAGGATCTGCATGAAAAGTGAGCGCACTGGATAAGTGAACACACACCAATACATCACTTCCAGCAAGAGTGCATTAGACAAACAGAGCATGTCTCGATCCTCTCGAGCTAATAGCCACCATCATAATCACTAGGTGCTTCTGTAAATCACTCAGCCGCCGTGCGAACTACTGCAGTCATGTTTCTGAGAAAGGCCACGCTGCTCTCGAGCGTTGAAGAGTTTGTTCGCATGAATACAGAAGAAAATATTTAAGCATCAACAGCGAAACCACAAACCTGAGTTTCGAGACATGCCTTGTTAGGACTGCGGAATAACGGCAATCTAACCTTGTCAAACAGAGGAAATACGATGGGGTGTGAGGAGTACTCTGGGAAGTGGATGTGCAGCGCTGTGGCATTTTCAGTGTACGGGTTGGTCTGAATAGTTCCTATTGGGTTCAGCATCTCTTCAAGTTCATCTGTGGAAAACACACATGGAGGAAGACATTTGTTTGACGTGAAGCTCATGTAATCCATGTTTAAATATTAAACACACAGTGAGTGTTGGAGCGATTGTGCATACCAGGAAAGGAAGACCAGCAGTGCAGGATGATGTCTCCGGTCTTCAACTGCCCTTTGTAGTCAAACACCATGGTGTTGACCCAAGCTATGGGATAATGCTGGTCCAAACAATAAGTTATCAGTCTGTGCAACAATACAAGCTGTGTTTGAAGGCTTTCATCTGACTCACAACAAGCAGCTCACTTACCACCTTCCCCGCCTTGCGGATGGTTGGGTATTTGTTTATGTGAGCGTTTTTGGTGGACTTCTGCTTCTTGACCTTATCCATGACGGCATAGATGGCGAAGCACAGGCGGGTCATGCGCGGCAGATCGGAGACGGCGATGTCAAACTCCAACGTGCTGTCCTTCCAGGTATGGTCCGAGCGTCCGTTACTCTCGCTGCTCACTGCCGGCTTACAGAGCAGCTCTGTGCCGTGGAAGAGCCCTGCCCTCACCTGGACCTGCAGGTACAGACAGCACTTCTTATCATCCAACGGACTTTTGATACGTTGTATGAACAGTCTCCTAATTCACTGAGAGAACTGGGCTTCATGCTCTTGTTTTTCTGTTTTTAGTTTCTCTGCATATTTTTTGTACTCTAACCAATCCTGCATAATTTACCCATTCAAACATCAAAGCATTCAACTCATTTCAGATATGAGTGCTGTGACTTTTGGGTTTTGTAAACATTTTACTTTGTGAAGTATTTAACTTTATTTACAAACATGTTCCTTATAAAACAAAGATTTATTTATTCCTTTAATAACACTGTCTCTCTTTGAAATATGCTACAGGAAACTTGCTCCATTTTTGCTTGTTTTTTATGTTATTTTTTTTAAGTAGACTTTTGATACATTTAGCTTTTAGCTGGTCCTTTGATACATTTATCTTTTTGATAGTCTTTTGATACATTTAGTTTTTAGCTAGTCTTTTGATACATTTATCTTTTTGATAGTCTTTTGATACATTTAGCTTTTTGCTGGATCTTTGATTAATTTAACTTTTAACTATTCTTTTGATACATTTAAGTTTTAGCCAGACTTTTGATAGTTGTTGCTTTTGGCCAGAATTTAGCTACTTTTAGTTATAGATATCCTTTAGCTTCTTTTAGCTTTTAGTCAATAATTTGATACTTCAACTTACAGCAGTCCTGTTGGTACTTTAAGCTTTTAGCTAGCTATTTGGTACATTTAGCTAGCATTTTGCTAGTTTTATCTTTTAGCTAGTCTTTTGGTATTAGCAATTAGCTTTTAACTAGCCTGTTTATAAATGTAGCTTTTTGCTAGTCTTTTGATACTTTTTGCTTTTGGCCAGTTTTTAGCTACTTTTAGCCTGTGCTACTTTTAGCTAGCCTTTTGTTATGTTTAATTTTGTTTAGCCTGTGTGAACAGCTCAGTTTCAGCTCCTTCAGTAAAGTTCAGCGGTCATTCAGTGATCCTCATTCAAACTGCCTTTTCTCTAGTTTGACTTTTGTTCTTGTGGTGACAGACATGAAAAAGACCGTTTTGTAGATGAGGAAGTTTACCTTGGCCGTCTCCTCTGCGTTCACCTTGCTGCCTTTCACCAGGACTATCTTGAACGGGCTCTGCACGTCCCACACACTTCTCTGTACCAGCTGAAAAGGATAAGGGAGGGCAGAAAGCAAGTTGTTCTAAATTAGCATGGTGCACTGTAAAATAAGTGCTTAATCAGTGCCTTCACTCAGATCGTAGCTCAGACATACAAACAATGAGGGAAGGGAGGTGGGTCACTGTGATGTCAGGCCAGAAGGATTTGTGAGGGTCAGCAGAGAACAAACATCACATGACACACTGAAACTCAGAGCATGACTAACCAGCACACTTCCTGCTGCTCGTGTGGTTTAAACTCTCATGTATGTCATTTCCAGTCCCTTATCAGATAGAAGACTAGCTTTTTTTGGACTACATCACAAAACACCTCTTCCTGTTCTTTTCTTGTGCTTTGTTTTCCCCGATTATCAGTTACGTTTCCTCCCACAGACCAAAAGCACGCACGTTAGGCTGATTGGTGACTCTAAACTGTCTGTAGATGTGAGTGAGAGAGTGAATGGTTGTTTGTCTCGTTTGTCTCCGTGTCCCTGTGATGGACTGGAGACCTGTCCAGGACACCCCCCCCCCCCCCCCCCCACCACCACCAAGAGGACCAGATTTAACTTTTTTAGGTTGGATTGTATACCTGGATTATTGAGCATGGACTTTGTTGTTTTCAACCAGTTTGACACGACTGTCAACAAGGAAGAGGGCCGGCAATGGAGGAGGGGGCGTGACAAAGAGACCATCTTAGCACCGGCATAACTGGTTTGTTCCACATTGGAGTAAGCTGTTGGGGGAAAAATCCGTTTTGTTTTGCGTTTCCTTGACTGATGAAGCCTTCTGGATCTAAGGAGAAACATTTCTACGCTTTTGTTGTTGTTTTGCTTTGTTTTGTTTTTTGAATGTCCAGAGGACCAAAACAAAAACATATTCAGCAGAAACTGAACACTGAATCTGAGTTCAGACAAAACGTCATCTGGGTTGAGACCAGTGCACCACATACGGACCACAGACCAGTGTTTGGAGACCCCTGTCATGAGTAAAGGTGTTTTATCTTAGCTCATTAACTTCACCTCCACATCTGGACTAAATATTTCTGTCGTTCAGCAGAACTGAACTCATAAATCAGAAAACAAACTGAATTTAAGGCCTGGCATTTCCTGAAGGACTGAATGTTTGATGATCTTCAGGCCAGAGTGGAGAACTGACCGACTTGTTGTAGTTTGGATTCATCTTCAAGTTTTGTTCTGTGAAATCTTGTGTTTAGAGTAAACGTTATGAATGACCAAAATTTTACCCAAATATCTATAAAATTGACTGAATTATTACAATTTTTTGTGTTTGTAAGGACAGTTGGCCATCTTGAATTGGGTCATGTCTAATCATTTGCAGAGGTACATCCAATAATCATTTCCTGGAAGTTTAATTAAAATCTGACCGGTGGTTCATGAGATACTTTGTCAAACACACACACATGCACACACAATAATCAGCCTTTTGTCTTTTTGGTGGCAGGCGATAACAAATAGGATAGTAGAGTTTCTTTAATAACTATAGGCAAAAAGAGATGCATGAAATACTAAGAGGAACTAAATCTGATACAACATAACATGTTAATGCTCCATGTGACGGTTCACTCCGGTAACGTTTGTCATCTCTCCAAACCAAACATCAGAAGGAGCATCAATAGTCTGCTCAGCATCAGAACCTCACCAGGAGGCTTGCTAACGAACACCAATTAATCGAAGGTGACGTTTGCAATGTGGATGCGCACACGGAGCAGTGATGTCACCGTGCAGCTGGAAGCAGCTGCTCGTCCTTCCTGACGACGAGGCGAATTCTGGCAGAGAGTCGTGAGCGTGCTAAGACACAGCCTCATGAAGACAGGCGGCAGCTGCCGACAATATTCCTGTTCAGTGAACCTCCACACCTGCAACGTTACTTTGGTGCAACAAGAGCACCAAAGCAAACACTGTGGATATTAGGAGTGTTATTTAGAGCATTTTTCAAGGTGTGTATGTGTGTGTGTGTGTGGGGGGGGGGGGGGCAGGGGGGGGGGGGGGGGCCCAGAAAGCTGGAGAGTAGAAGATTTAAAAAAAAAAAAGGCAAAAATAAAAAATACCGTAGTAACAATAACAATAAAAATTGCCCACTAGGGCAATGTGTATCTGTCATTTCCAGATAAACGCGCTTGAGAGAGGTTCGATTTCTTTTGTTTTGTTCTTCTGGTCAACAGTTTGTTGAAAAGTTGTTGTTTTCAGTGGGAATATAATTCAGTGTTTAAAACATGGCATTTTTACGCTCAGCAGCTGTAATAATTAATTGAATATAGTGAATAAAAGTCAAAACATTCTAAAAGTTGATGTTTATTTACATATTTTCTAGCAGTGTTTGTGGGTTTGTGAGGGGGGCCTCGGCCAGAAGCTAATGCTGTTTGTGGGGGCCATGACATGGAAAAGAAGTTTGGGAACTCCTGAGAGTACACAAGAACATTTTCTCCAGACTACCTTTATTCCTGTCTGTTACATACTGTATTTTTCAGCCTATAAGGTGCAGTTTTTTACATAATTTACATGTCCTGCGACTTATAGGCTGACGCAACGTATTGATGGATTTTTCCCACATTTAAAAAACAATTTTTGGCTGATATGACCCGTTTTCATTCATTATGACTGATTTTTTTTTGCAGTACCACCTTCAGCCACTTGATGGCAACAGAGTAGTAATAGCTGTATGGCATGCTGTTGTATCATGTAATAGGTAAACGTGGCTATAATGACATTCAAAAAAGTTCAAGACAAAAACAACTGGACTTTATTTATTATACTTTACTTTATATTTTATTTTTTTATTTTTAAACTTTTTTGAATTTACCATGTCCTGGATGGCTGAGAATCTTCACCAGCTATTAATGACTCAATAGGCCTGCCAAAGTCCCCACCTTCATTCTGCTCATTGCTTGGAACCCTCAAACCAGCTGCACCACCCCGCCAAAATGCAGCTGATTTAACAATAAAAAGTGCATTTATTAAGCAAACGGTAGACTGAGACACACCTTTACTATAATTTTGAGCAAACAAATAATTGTTTTTAAGTGTTAATCTTGTTAAATTCTTGTTAAAGTCCTCCCGTTTAAAGTCCTCCCGTGCATGCTCCCATGGCCGCCATTTGGCAAACTATTGATTTGTGGCACAACACCAGAGCCCTGCATACGGCACATTATATACCTATGGACAGACCGAGACAAGCAGAGACCTGGGACTTTGACCTTGATCTTAGGTCCTTGATGACATCAGCTGGTGACGAAACGATTATGCAACACACTGTCTAGTCATGATGCATGTGTGTATGAAGTTTTGTCACATTATCTTGAGCAGATCAGAAGTAATAGGTGGGACGAGAACATTTTTGCTGGTACATGGGTACGTATGGAGCCTTTTCCATGTCATGATATGGGGTGGGTATTTGACGGGTGTGTAAAAATGGTGTCTTGACATGCTTTTTATAAATAAAAGTACACAGTCACTTCTGCAAATAAAACAAAAACCTTCCAGCAGAAGATAAACCAACAGAAAAGTGAGAAGTATGTTAGTTTCCAGTAAATCTCTGTTATTAATATGGGACTAACCGTGGGAGCTCTTCTTTTGGGAGGGAGCGGTAAAGGTGGGTTGGAGGACTTGCGGCTGACCACAGCTCCGATGACGGACATTTCCTTGTCAAAAATGGCCTTCACCGTGCTGGTGTGAACCAAGGTGAGGTGAGGAGACTCCTTGGCCTGCACATATGTCGATATATTGTGTACAAAAAAAAAAAAAAAAACAGGAGGGGGTTTTAGCTACAAGAGTATTCGAGGGAGGTACCAGAGAAACTCATGACTGAATTAGCAAAATTTAAAGAAACAAAATTAAAATTCATGGTATGTTTGGTGTCTGCGTAGCAACTATTAAAACTGTAGAAATGTTCTATATCAGTCCTGAATTATTCCTTTTGTAATCTCTGTGTTTGATATCTTTATATGTATCCTCTAATTAAATTATATTTCAGGATATAGCCTCTAAATTGTCTACGTTCACCAAAGTAGAAAGAAATTTCCACAACATATTTTAGTAAAATGAAAACAGCTGTTCACAACTGTGGGTCTAACTGTTGAAACAAACAACAACAAAATCATCCATGGTGCAATTAAACTGCACCTGCACCTCTACTGAACACATTGTCGTTGAGCCATCAACACGTGGTTCAAAGCTATAAATATCAAAGCCGTTCCCTCTAAACTCTCACATCTTCAAACCACATGGCAGACTGGGATCTATTGTTTAGTGCTGTGGTGCTTTGACACATCTACTACAACAAACTAAATCACAAACAGCGTGCACAAAGGGACAGAAAGAGAAAACGGTTTTCACACAGTGTTTCGAGTCTTAAAGGATGAAGTTAAGAAACGCTCATGACCGCAATGAAAATCATCTGACTGAAGCACATAAATTAGAGACACTTGAGGCTTTCTAGACCATAGTTGCATCTTTCTCTTCTTATTTAATTACAAAAACTTGTCTTTGGTCAGGAGGACCCTCTTTCACTCAGTGTGACTGCAGACCTGGGAGCCTCATTAAAGCACGTGGGGTCCGGTGATAGTTAGCTTGTCAAATAATAATTATAAGTTATGTTTGTTAACGTCTAGGTTTAAAGCACTACCTGCTGAAATGTTTTACAATCATAAGGTTTTAAATTCTTAATGTAAAAGAGAAAAATAAGATTTTATTAACTTACTTGACAACTTGCTTTTTTTTTTTTAGGTCCCTAGAGTTTCCAAAAGCAGAATGGGAGGAAGTTATCAGTTATCAGGCTCCTCTCTTGTGGAACCGACTTCCAGTTTCTGTCCGTGAGGCTGACACATTGTCCAGTTTTAAGACTGGGATTAAACTTTCCTTTTTGATAAATCCTATAGTTAGGGTTAGCTTGCTATGCTGCTATAGGCTTAGGCTACTGGATGACAAATTGACCTCATTTCCTTAAATGAATTGTTAAAACTGAATAGTTTTCATTTGATATTATTTCTATATTAACATGTGATTCTTGACCTGCCATTGTGTATCTGTTCCTCTCAAACCCAGCCGGTCGAAGCAGATGGACGCTGGTTCTGCTAAAGGTTTCTTCCTCACGAGGGAGTTTTTCCTTTCCACTGTCGCCTTCATTCTTGTTCAAGATGAGAGTTCTGTGATGGAGTTAAACTCAAAGCAGTCTGCTTCTCAGACAAATAACGTTAAATTATTATTTTATACAGTATGAATGTTTCTGTCCAGTGCCCTGAGATGACTTCTGTTGTGACTTGGTGCTATAGAAATAAACTGAATTGAATTATAGAAGCAACATGAAGACACTCCTCATGAAAAGAGATGGTAATCTGTACCTTTCTCATCGTGCCTGTCCTCTTTTTGTGAAGCCAACAGTGAAGCACAATGTTCATTTTCTTCAGTTTCTACTCTTTGACGCAAATACCATATGCTCTAAGGAGGCAGTAAATATTCATAAAAATTAATGTCCAAGACAGAAGGAGTCTTATGGAATCAGATGCTTTTTGGTTTTGCAGAGGAACAAAGGGGGTCTTATTCCTAAAAGCAATGTACAGCCTCATTTGAAGGTGGGGAAAAATGCACCAGTGCAGAGAGAGACTGTTGGTTGACAGCTAAATCTGAGAAGGACATTGTTCTTTGCACAGTCTTATGAGAAATGAATGGATAAGCAAAATTTCTCATTTGCATCCACAAAAAACATACAATCTGTTGGCCTCTGTATTCTGATATCTGGGTCCACCGCATCTCCACTGACCTTGTACTGAGTCAAAGGATGGTCTCCACAGAGGAACTCCAGGCGCTGGCTGACTCTGAGAAAATACTGACCCCTCCACGCCTCCTCCTCAGGCGCGTGAGTGGTCAGCCACTTCTTCACCGCCATCTCCATCAGCTCAGAGGTGGTGCAGGACGATGACACCTTCAGACTGGTCGAGTCCTTCAAGGCAAGAACAAAAAATGGAGA